TATATATATATATATATATATGTGTGTGTGTGTGTGTATATAATCTGTCCTCATCAACAGACGCCAGTGCTCGTTAATCCAGCCACCAAACCCTCTGTTTATAGATTAAAACACTTTACACAAGACTTATGATTTTTTCCTTGCAGCGCCTCTGTCACATCCTCTATTTAAATTGAACCTCTATAAATTCCTCCTTTACGTACTGCAAATATCAGTAATATCAAACAGAACCACAGGATCCTGTTTCTGGCAACGCTGCACAAGACGAAACACGCGTGTTACTCTATTTTTGCCCATATCTAACTCGATCTCGTTTTCACAATTTACGGAACAAATATATAGGCCAGAGTAGGTTGCTTTATTCGTTATGAGGTAGTGCAGCGCCTCCGGTAGCTGGTGCAGTACCCACTCATAAATCAACGCTTAGTCTTGTGGTACACTTGGCTTCGTTTTCGATTCGCAATCGGGAATCCCGGGTTCGATTCCCTGGCGGGATAGGAATAGGTGGGCACGTTTCCTTTCACCTAATGCCGCTGTTCGTCTAGTAGTGAATATGTACCCAAAAATTAGGAAACTGTTGAGCAATTGTATCATGGGAAAGGTAAATAGTTCGACCAAAGGGGGGGGGGAGGAATTAGTTACAAGTTTAAATTAAATATATACACGCAGACTTCCTGTCTCCGACAAAAATTAATTATTATTAATTAGTATCTATGGCATAATTTGCAAAGGCAAGCTATAAGTAGAACACACGGGATGTGAAAATCGACATAGGATGACGGCAGGGATTTAGTAAAGTGACCTTCCCTTCAGACCAAGTGCACCACAAAGTCAAGGTCTCTCTCTCTCTCTCTCTCTCTCTCTCTCTCTCTCTCTCTCTCTCTCTCTCTCTCTCTCTCTCTCTCTCTCTCTCTCTCTCTCTCTCTCTCTCTCTCTCTCCCTCTCTCTCACACACACACACACACACACACACATATAGGGATTTCGCGACTGAATTGACATGCTCTGGGATCGTGGTTCTAAGTGCCCGGGTTCGATCCCCGGCGAAGGCGGGAACAAATAAGCACAGTTTCTTTCACCCTGATGCTCCTATTCACTTAGCAGCAAATAGGTACCTGGGAGTTACACAACTGCTACGGGCTGCTTCCTGGGGATGTGGGTGTGTGCGCGTGTGTTAGAGAGAAATATATATGTAGTAGACACATTAGAGGAAAAATAAATTGGGTAGAAAGGCGGGGTCCAAGAGCTAATAGCTCGATTCTGCAGATACAAATAGTAAATACACCCACGCAAAAACACAACTCAAAATAGCCAGCAGTTGTTGACAAAATATGTATAGTCAAATTGATTCCACATTCAACTGGACCACAGTCAACTGAGGTAACTCATACATAGAACCTAACAAGGACCAGAATTAGAGACACATCTGATATATATTTCTAGTGTTTGCTAATAAATAATAAATTATAAATAAATATTAATTCAGGTAAAATCACATACATTCAAAATGAGTTACAAACAGAATATTGGGTGTCTAGGTAGAGCTAGTACATACTATGCCTAAAGCCACTAATATGCATAGCGTTTCGGACAAGATGTGGGGGAAAAAACTTAGACTAAAACTTAAAACTAGTGTATTAGAGTAGTGAACCGACAGACACACGAACACAATATATAAGACAATGAGAATAATAAAAGTACCGGGAGCTGAGCAGAGAAAGACAAAAACCGGAATGTGACCTTCATTTGCGTGGGAACCTGTCAGGTGTGTGGAAACCTTTCATGTGTGTGGGAACCTTTCATGTGTGTGGGAACCTGTCATGTGTGTGGAAACCTTTCATGTGTGTGGGAACCTTTCATGTGTGTGGGAAACTGTCAGGTGTGTGGGAACCTGTCAGGTGTGTGGAAACCTTTCATGTGTGTGGGAACCTGTCAGGTGTGTGGGAACCTGTCAGGTGTGTGGAAACCTTTCATGTGTGTGGGAACCTGTCATGTGTGTGGGAAACTGTCATGTGTGTGGGAAACTGTCATGTGTGTGGGAACCTGTCATGTGTGTGGGAACCTTTCATGTGTGTGGGAACCTGTCAGGTGTGTGGGAACCTTTCATGTGTGTGGGAACCTTTCATGTGTGGGGGAACCTGTCATATGTGTGTGGGAATCTGTCATATGTGTGGGAAGCTTTCATGTGTGTGAGCTTTTCATGTGCATGGGAATCTTTCATGTGTGTGGGAACGTTCTAATATGTGTGAGGACCCATATGCAGTGTAGGGGACCCCCCTACAAAGTGTAGGGACCCCCTACAATATGTAGAGGGGTCCCTATAAAATGGAGGGACCTCCTACAAAGTGTGGGGACAACATATAATATGTAGGGACCACTATAATATGCGGAAGACCACATACAATTCGCGGGGGTCACTTAATGCGGAGGACCATCTACAGCATGTGGGGACCACTGACAATGGAATTTTAATTGACCCTCACGTCTGTGTGTGTATGCGTGTGAACCCTTGAATGTAATTGTATTTGGTGCGTGACCGCTTGAGTGTGACTGTATATGTGTATGTGATCCCATGAGTGTGAGTGTATATATGTGTGTGACCCCCTTCAGTGTGACATCGTGCGCTCAGGAATGAGAGTCGGATGTGATCAAGGTCGACAGTTGGTTGATAACCGGGTGACGCACTATACAGTTTACGTGGGTAAGTGATTGAGAGGTGACGTAACTCTCCCGTCCTGGGATACGTCGAACTGTGGAACTGTCTACTTCCGGCCATTAAAGTATTGCGCTCTGCGTGTGTTTGCAGGATCGAACTCTTATCTTTCGACCCCACCTATCTAGTCGCTGGTTGTCCGTTGCAACGCCTCCTGCATTATTACTCGACTACATCTGTTTTTAAAACTATTAACGGAGTTTGCTTCTACAATCTGTTCATTTAGTTTATTCCATTTTCCCACTGCTCTTACGTTAAAAAAAGTTATAATATCTCAGTTATTCATCTGAGACTCAAATATACATTCATGCCCACTGCTTTATTAGTCGACGTCCCTAAATCAACAACAACAACACTGTTTCATTGATATTCATTGCGAACATCTTTTTTTTTCACTATGTCAATCACCTTTATTTTACGATTCTATCAGATCTCCTCTCTCCTTTTCTCTAGTGACATCAGGTCTGGTTCTGTGAGGTTTTCTTCATATAACATCCCTTACAATTCCGGGACGAGCCTCGTTCTAATTCTCTAAATCTTTTCTAGTTGTTTGTGTGTTTTAAAAGAAAAGGGCTCCACGATGGGGTTGCATACTCTAAGGCTGGTTTCACGTACGCGGTGTACAGCGTTCTAAAGGCATCCTTATTTAGGTTCTGGAATGATATTCTGAATTTTCCATTGCAGAGTATAGTGCTGGTGTTATCCTATTTATGTGTGTCAGCGGAGTTAGGGTTGCTGTTATGTCCACTCTCAGGTCTATTTCTCTAGTCATTAGAGGAAAGTAGTTTCCTTCGTTGTCTATCGTCCTTCCGTGTCTCATGACACCTGTTCTCCTTCACATCACCTTACTCTTGCTTGTGGTGACCTCTAACAGTCATTTCTCAGACCATTTCTGAACGTTGTCCAAGTCATCTTGGAGCATCTTGCAACCTTCACCTGTCTAAACATTTCTCATTAACTTTACATCATCTGCAATCATCGACATATAGGATTCCACTCCTGTGGTTAGATCATTATCATGAATGAGAAATAGTATGGGACCCAGCATCGATCTCCGAGGTATTCAGTTTGTTACTCTACATCAGTCCGACATTTCCACCCTCATTATGATTCTCTGATTTGTGTCTGTTAGGTACTATCTTATCCATGTCAGTGCTCTCTCAGTTACTCCTGCCTACCTCTCAGGTTTATGTAATAGTCTCTTATGTGAATGTGTCAAAGGCTTTTTGTCAGTCCAGAAAAAATCAATCTTGCCAACCTTCTTTGTCTTATCTTATTTGTGTTACTTTGTCACAGAACTCCAGTAGGTTCGTTGTGCATTATTTACCTTTTCTTAAGCTTATATATTGGCCACTTTCTAACAGTTGAGTAAAACTCTCCTCTCATTTATCTCATTACAGACCAGGGTCAGAGGATTGTCTAGGGCCTGTGCAACTTCTTTTATCATCCACGGTGAAATATTGTCTGGTCTCAGCTATATTTTCATCTAATGATGCTAGTAGTCTCGTTATTTCCTCTGCTATTATGTCAATATTTGTTAGTCTCTGGTCTACGGATACTTCATATCCTAGCACTGGGAGCTGTTCTGGCTCAGTTATAAACAAATCATGGAAACTGGCATTGAGCTCCACACAAATTTCTTTGTAATTTCTGTACAATATCTTCGCTTGCAAAATCGAGCGCTGGTGTGTGTGTGTGTGTGTGTGTGTGTATTCATCTAGTTGTATTCACCTAGTTGTGCTTTCGGGGGTTGAGCATTGCTCTTTCGGCCCGCATCTCAACTGTCAATCAACTGATACTAACTACAAACTTTTTTTTCCTCACACACGAGGGATTTGTGTGTACTCACCTATTTGTGCTTGCGGGGGTTGAGCTTTGGCTCTTTGGTAACTCTCTCTTTGTGTGTGTGTGTGTGTGTGTGTGTGTGTGTGTGTGTGTGTGTGTGTGTGTGTGTGTGTGTGTGTGTGTGTGTGTGTGTGTGTTCAGTGCAACGACACAAAATTTAACTCTATATGTAGACGTAGAGGCATTGAGGGTGTGTAAGTGTTAAGTATGTGATTTGAGGTGTCATCAAGACCCAATGAGTTGTTCCCCATAACGCAACACTGCAATTTAATGCTTGTCACTGCCATGAGTATTTCAACCAGTATACGAGACTGTTATGCCCTCATTACATGTGCATTGCTACTGTGCTACAATGCTACTGTGCATTTTAGCACTATTATAACAGCTTCATAACCAATCTTAAGTCAGGAGTATGATGCTAATACAAAGTTCTCTTCAACAGAATCTCCACTGTACGAGTCCCTCATCTCCTGCTTCTCCGACCAGGAGGACGTGCTGACCCTCCCAGACACAGAGACGGAACATGAGTATCAGCAAATCCAGGTAGGCGACCTGACGCCCAAAATTGATAAGAAATCGCGGGCGGAGACATCGACATCTCCTGGGGAGAGAGGCCGGGACTCAAGCAAATCCGGAAACGACTCGACGTATGAAAAGTCCTCGAGTGAGGACCGCCACCACCAACTGCAAGAACACCAAAGCCACCACCAACAACAACAGCAAGACCACCAACAACACCACCAGCAACAGCAAGACCAGCACCAACACCAGGTGACGACAATGAACAAACTCCACACCTTGGATGTCAAGCCTGAAAGACACTACAACAAAGACGGTGAAGTCACTGAAGAGGTTAAATGCAGCTGGCAAACTAGTGGCTCAGTGAGCCCAAAGAGCGAAAGTTCTGGTTCCTCCCTTCTTCCTGCCAAAGTGACGACAGCAACAAAGAGCTCAACCCAGTCACTCTCCTCGAACGAGAGCCACAAGAGTGCTATTTACATCACCCACGGCTCGAGCTGCTCTATGGAAGACAATAGCTCTGGCATCACCGTCTCAGACACTTACCAAGAGATTAATAGACCTCCGACGGTAATCCATGTTTCAAGCAACAATAACACTTCAGTTGATCAGATCACTCCTCAAAAACCCGAGACGAATGTTAGTCGGAAAACTAGTGTTAAAAGCAATGATTTAAGCGTGTCTGCAAGCGATGACCAGCAGGTGTGTGAGCGTGTCAATCACAGCTCCTCTCCTAACTCTTCCAAGACCAACACAAAGACGAGTTTTCCGGCCAGGTGTTGCAGCGCCGATCCTACGAGCACTGCTCAAATGATCAGCCGGTCCAGGCCACCTGAAGGTATGTGTCTGCCACTTACCGTAGAACTGCCGGAGACCAAGCAGTGCCCCCGGAAAGAACAGCCTTCCCGCACCACAAGGAACAAGTCCACGCAGGCGTCGCTCAGTTCGCCGCCGCCCCACATCATAACAACCCTTGACCCACCCATCAAGCTCGCAAGACCTCCGTCCAGACCTTATAGATCATCCCATAACACTTCGACGACGCACACCGGCTCCGACGATGTCCCTCCATTAGTTGTGAACTTCGACTCGGAACACTCGGACAGCGACGACGGCGGAGGCGAAATCAACAGCGACACAGACTCCTCCTCCTCCTCCTTAACCACCATCAACGACAGAGCTACCTTTTACCTGACGGGAGATGACACCAGCTCCATATATTCGTCGGTAGCGGAGATCTACTCCGTGGTCACCACCGACCAGGACTCCCTGGTTTACGTCTACACGCCCCCACCCAGAAGCCAGACTCGCACCCGCCAGAGAGACTACTGTACCCTCAGCTACAGGTTCCCCAGCTACGTCCTCACCAGGTACAGTAAGACGCCTTCTAGTTGACCAGACCACATACTAGAAGGTGAAGGGACGACGACGTTTCGGTCCGTCCTGGACCATTCTCAAGTCGATTGAGAATGGTCCAGGACGGACTGAAACGTCGTCGTCCCTTCACCTTCTAGTTTGTGGTCTGGTCAACTTATTTAACCTCATCATGACTTCTACTGATTTTAATAATAATAATAATAATAATAATAATAATAATAATAATAATAATAATAATAATAATAATATCTCCTTGGACATACTGAGAAAAGTTGATAATCAAACTCACCATGTTAGAGGAAAGTCGAATTGGTGGGGGATACGTCAGCAATGTACATGATAATGACGAGAATTGAGAGGGTGAACAAAGAGGTGGTGTTCGAAATGAAAAATGGTAGGAGCAGAGGACACGGTTGTTGTTTTAGATGAAGCCACTCGGAACAAAGGTTCCGAGCAGCACGGGTTGTGTTGAGCCCGTGGAACACATGAGCTGGAGAGACATCAGGGAAAACTTTCTCATTAAGACTAAAGTCAGAACATCATTCAGGAACCTAAATAAGGAAGTATTTAGAACATTTTAAATTTACGTGAGACCACTGTTAGAGTATACCGCCCCATCGTGAAGCCTCATCTTAAAAGAAAAATAAGACATGAAACTAGAAAAGGTTCCGAGGTTTGAAACGAGTTCGTTCCAGGATTGCGAGGATAGGATTTTGAATAAAGACAAAAAAACAAGACCTGACGTCGCCAGTGGACAGGAGACATGATAGCAACATTAAAGTCTTAAGGAGGTTTGACAGAATGGAAAAAAATGATGTTCGAAATTAATACCAATAGAACAATCTTGAGATTATCTTGAGATGATTTCGGGGCTTTTAGTGTCCCCGCGGCCCGGTCCTCGACCAGGCCTCCACCCCCAGGAAGCAGCCCGTGACAGCTGACTAACACCCAGGCACCTATTTTACTGCTAGGTAACAGGGGCATAGGGTGAGAGAAACTCTGCCCATTGTTTCTCGCCGGTGCCCGGGATCGAACCCGAGACCACAGGATCGCAGGTCCAGCGTGCTGTCCGCTCGGCCGACCGGCTCCCAGGCAAGGGATGAGAGGCAACAAGAAGGCAGGGATGAAATCTTGAAAAACAGCTGTGTCATAGAGATGTTAGAAAGTTTTCTTTTAACGTAAGAGTAGTGGGAAAATATAAAAAATTAAATGAGCTGGTTGTAGAAGAGAACTGCCTTCAAAAATAGATATGATAGAGTAATAGGTTAGGAGTCATTGAAATATACAACCAGCAGCTAGAAAGGCGGATTCCAAGAGATTCAATTGCACAAATACAAATAGGTGAGTACACACACTAATTACAATATCTTCCAACCCTCCTCCCACCCCCCCACACACTCCAGAATATGGTCTATCTCACTTCCTCTGGTAATATAGCGTTCATTGTCTTATAATATTGGTCCTATTGTCACCAGTGGCGGCGCTGGAGCCTCGCCCACTATTTCAGCCAAGCGGAAAATGCCATCATTACTCAGATTATTGTGTACCTGATGGGCGGGTCTGAGTGAGGTAGGAAGTGCGGTCTGATGGAACCGTTGTCTTGCGCTTCCTACACTCCAATGATATTACCTTCTTCGTGTAAAGATTGCAGCGTTCACATTGGTAATGATGATAGAGAGTTAATAAACAAGAGAATGATTTCTTTTAGTAATCATAATAATTATAATAATAGTAACATAATGAGAATAAATTATAATAGTGAAAAATAATAACAGTAATAATGATGAGAGAATTAGTAGAAGCCGTGACGAGTATTCGAACCCATGCTCAGGGTACCTCCAAGCAAACGCCTTAAATGACATGGAAAATGATTTCAACCTGGGATTTAACTGAATCCTCTAGGATCTCTGAAGCTTCCACTGAAGCTGAACCAGGGTTTCAAGCGAACCACTTGCCTCTGATACCGGATAACTAGCATGCATGTGAAACCTGACGGCTCGCTTGCCTCTGATCCCTGATACATTGTTTGCATCTGATACCTGATAACTCGTTTGATTATTGTACCTGATAACTACCTGATTTGATTTGTTGTCGTCGGAGGCGGCTAGATTATTGTGCACCCCATACTCATCCTGTGAGCGGTAGCGCAAAAGCAGATAACTGATAACTACCTGTGTCATGTTATCACACATCCCGAGCACCTATTTGCCCCAGGGCGCACAACACACCAGGACTGTCCTTTGTTTTTGACACCCGCGTGCTTACCCCGAGTGGCTCAGTTAATACCGGAAGGGATTACGCACTGTATACATGCCTGGTTGAACCGCTGGTCGTTAATTACCTTCGTCCTGTCATCGTCCCTTGATATATAGCTCAGATTTCACGCTCCCTGATATGACCTCGACTCTTCAACTAACTCGTGATCATCTATGACCCTTTGTGCCCTGTTGTAGTTCTCTATGACCCTCCGTGCCCTGCTGTAGCCCTTCATACCTAAAGCAGGTCATACTAATTTCCATCACTCCCAAACATTGGGTGGACTTACCGATATTAACTTGCTAATTACATCTAAAATTTGTTGTCCCAGAAAAAGCTCACACAGAAGTTACCAGTTTCGCGGAATATACCGACCAATTGTGAGACTATACAAGATGATGTGTAAATAATCCACTTTTATGTATCTGTATAAAAGAGACTGTCAGGACAAGGTAGAATTCCTCTCCCGGACCCTGTCCCTATCCCTCCCTCTCTCTGTCTCTCTGTCTCTGTCTGTCTGTCTGTCTGTCTGTCTGTATGTCTGTCTGTCTGTCTGTCTGTCTGTCTGTCTGTCTGTCTGTCTGTCTGTCTGTCTGTCTGTCTGTCTGTCTCTCTCTCTCTCTCTCTCTCTCTCTCTCTCTCTCTCTCTCTCTCTCTCTCTCTCTCTCTCTCTCTCTCTCTCTCTCTCTCTCTCTCTCTCTCTCGCCAGGGTCATTGTTAGACCAAAACAAAATACCAGCTGGTGGGCTTAGCCCTTCCGGGAAATGAAGGATGGCTGGATAGACATATAATGACAATAATAATCACAATTTTAATACCAACAGGAAGTTCAGGAGCTGGAACCACACATATGTCGTGAAGCGGGAGGATTCTCTTGAAAAAGGGAAAGGGCTTAGGGCATGGATGTTAACTTTGTGTTTATAAACACACACACACACACACACACACACACACACACACACACACACACACACACACACACACACACACACACACACACACACACACACACACACGTACACAACGGGTTGAAGCAGACAGTCGTGGACGACCAGCCACGACCGTTATGTAATCTATATGTTCATTATATCAATGTCAACCTGATGTGTTCTGTGTCTTTATGGGCAGCCTGGTCCACCTTGGTGAAGGCTCTTTGGTCGGCGTGTTTGTGTCTTCACCTATTTGTGCCTGCAGCATCGAGCTCTTAGCTCTTGGACCCCGGCTTTCCAACCGTCAGTTGTTTAATATACTGACTCGCGACTTATTTTCCTCTATCATATTTTCTACATTTATTTATATCTAAAACACACATACATACGTCCCCAGGCTGCGGTCCGTAGGAGCTGTCTAACTCCCAGGTACCTATTTACTGCTAGGTAACAGGGGCGTTAGGGTGAAAGAAACTGTGCCCATTTTGTTTCTGCCATCAGCCGGGATCGAACCCGCACCTTAGGATTACGAGTTCAGAGCGCTGCCCACTTAGTACCAGGGCCCCCAAATAAGTGTTTAACTCCCAGGTACCTATTCATTGCTAGGTTTACAGGGACATCGGGGTGAAAGAAATTGCCCATTTGTTTCCGCTATTGCCGGGGATCGATCCCCGGTCTCTAGGATTACGAATCCCAAGCGCTGTCCACTCAACCACCAGGCCTTTGGAGGCCTGACCCCCAAACCCCCAAAGGCCACCAGCCACGCATCCCTCCCAGGTACCATGTGTGTGTGTATGTGTATTCACCTAGTTGTGTTTGCGGGGGTTGAGCTTTGCTCTTTCGGCCCGCCTCTCAACTGTCAATCAACTGTTTACTACATTTTTCCTACATCACACACACACACACACATACACACACACACACACACACACACACACACACACACACACACACACACACACACACACACACACACACACACACACACACACACACACACACACACACACACACACACACACACACACACACACCAGGAAACAGCCCGTGACAGCTGACTAACTCCCAGGTACCTATTTACTGCTAGGTAACAGGGGCATGAACCCGCGCCACAGAATTACGAGTCCTGCGCGCTATCCACCAGGCTACGAGACCCCCTAGAGCCTCGTGTGTGTGTGTGTGTGTGTGTGTGTGTGTGTGTGTGTGTGTGTGTGTGTGTGTGTGTGTGTGTGTGTGTGTGTCTGTGTCTGTGTCTGAGTGTGTGTGGAAGGGATTCGTTCATGTGTGTGTGCGAGTCTGTCAAATAATTTGTGTTTTTCAGTGTATTTTTTTCAGTGGTGGGAGGAGATGAGGGGAGACTAGTTGTTACTTGTTAATATTCAAGGCCCTCTCTGCCACTTGATTAAACACCCACTCACCTACTAATCCACCCACTCACCAGTCCACCCACCTCCCGCCCACCACCCCACCCTCCCTCTACCCATCACCCACCCTCCACCCACCGTGGGATAATCCCAACACTTAAGGGTATGTAACTTAACCTTTAATGCTTTTTACATGCTTGTCTTGTCGCTTTTTTCTTGGACTCTTAATCCATGTCTTTGCCTCTTCTGTTTATCTTCTTCCCTCTCTTCCTTTGCCTTGCTTGTCCTCCTTCCATTTTCCTCTTTCTCCTATTCCTCCTCCTCCTTCTTCTTCCACTACATTATCCCTCTTTAGTCCCACCCCTATTAAGAGGTAAGACCCTCAGCCACCCACAACAGCATGTAAAACTTACCAAACACTTAGACGGAAGCGCTTAAAACCCA